GCAGGAGCTGCAGCTGCAGCCCCTGCCTCCCTTCGGCATTATTGGCAAGAGCAGCCTCCTGGACTGCTCGCCCGAGTCAAGAGGCACCCGTGATAGTACATAGGAGCTCCAGGCACTGAACGGGTAGGCAGTTGGAGAGTAGGAAGGTAGTCTTCAGATTTCGGCCGCAGCACTCAGGAGGAGCGCTGCAGTAGTCTTCAGCGCTAGGCAGTAGTAGTAGCACTAGTAGTAGTCTTCGGCGCTGGGCGCCCATAGCCATAGCTGTAGTCTTCAGCGCTGGGCGCTAGTAGGTGGTAGTAGTTGCAGTGGAGGGAGATGGCTGGCGGAGGCCAGCGGTACTTACCTGTGGCGCCATAGCTCCAGCTCCATCTTTGAGGTACCTGCATCAAGGCGCCAACTTCACAGGTTAGTACTGGACACAGAGAGAGAGAGAGAGAGTTCTTCTTCTTCCTCCTCTATGTCCACCATCTCTTCTTCCCCTCTCACCACCTGACTTCTCAGTATCAGCGGACTACTACAGAGAGAGAGAGAGAGTTGTGACTTGAGACTTGACGACATTGGATCCAGACTCGACATTTGGGATTCAGACATTTCGACAAGGGACTATTTGGGCCTGTGCTGAACACTTGGTGTTGACAACATTCCCATCTTCCCCTCTTCTTCGTCTAACCCCCATCTCCTTCGTCTGTGTATGGTTGGGGCTGGCGCAGTCTTCCTGTGTGAAGCGCCAGACCCCTTCACACCATGGAATGATGATGATGATGTATGTTTGGGGCTGCATTGCAATATTGATTGTTCGGATCATTGGTATCTAAGTCTTCCGCTGTGCTATCTTATACTTTGTATTGAGAGGTCGGCTCTTGTTCTGGTCTGCACCGTTACTGTATGCAACATGAGATGATTAAGAGAGCCTTTCCAGACTCGTGGCTGTGCCTGTTGAGAGGTAGTTTATTCCCTCCCTCAGGCTTTTGGTGTAGACCGTCCTACCCTCCAAAAGACGTGGTGTATCAGATAACAGACGATCTAGGGGACGAGGGATGGGCGGCCTACGAGTGGAGGGTTGAGGACACATGTCTTTACTCGAAGGAATTGATCCAGGTGCCTGGTCAGATAAGATTAACCCCCCTTCAAGGCTGTTTTCATTAGTACTTGGTGCAAGTTGTTCTCAGATTTTTCTCAAAAAAAAAAAAACACCTATCATCAAAGGGCGTCCCTGCTCAGTTGACCCCCTGGTTCCGGGGCAATCAATGCTGGCAGGGGGAGGTCTTCTTAATTTTTTTTCTTAATTTTACCCTTGAGAATGCCTTAGGATTCTGGGCACTCCTTGCAACTCATTTTAGGCATCTTTGATGCTGTTATATTCATGGACCTGCGGTTTTCGATGCCAGAACGACGTTGGCCGGTGCTGGGGGGTTGCCCTGTGACCTGTTGATAGCAGGAGCGTGAGGCCTGGTAGAGAGATCTGGGGATGCCTTGGGCCAGGCATTCCAAAGGAAAACCAAGGGTTGTTGTCAGACGACGCTGGCTGGAGCTGGGGTGAGTCGTGTTGCCCTGTAACCTAGCAGGGTGGGGGCATGAGGCCTGGGAGAGCTTGGCAGGGAATTAGACAGTGTTAGAGAATTTTAGAGTGTTTTGTCGGGGAGTCCAGGGGTTCTGAGCATTCGAAGGACTTTTGTGGTAATTGCTGCTTGAGTAGCCTAGCAATAGGTCAACAGTTATCCACGTTTTTCCTAAATCTTCCTGAACTTTTTTCATAGTTTTCAGATTGTTCTTAGCCGAAGCCAGGTAATGGCCCTGGTATTGAAAATCATTTGTATATTCTACACGGGACGCTGGGCCCAGTTCCCAGCACGTGTTGCTCCCCACGAATAGATTGGAGCATAAAAAAAACCCTTTCAAGCAATATCAGGAAGTACCGGTGAGCCTCCATCTTCAAAAAACGCAAGGGGCGAGAGGGACAGGATGGAAAGCTTCCTTGCCTATGGGACTAATACCGCTTGACCAGGCTGCCGTAGACATCCGGAAGGTAGGTTGGCTGAACCTGGCAACAAATAGAACTTCATCACTTGATGAATACAATACCAAGCTGGGGGTATCAATGCTGAGGGCGAGGCTCAGTAACCCTCCTGCGCAATCAGTGGCCAAGAGACGCAAAGATGCAGAGTTTATGGAGCCAATTCAAAACGATGTCTTCACAAAGGCTGGCAAGTGTGGTGTGGTTCTAGCGGCAGCCTCGGCTACGAACTTAGCGTCCAAAGGAATGAAGATTTGAACGATTTGCGTACGGTGCAGATGGCCAGGGGAAAATAATAGGCATCTGTGGCTGACATGCCCAGCATCAAGAAGATTGTGGGACTGGTGGATTGGACATTGGAAAAGGCTTACTAACGATTCCTTCCTATGGTCGGATGATTGGATAATCTCAGGCACGCACTGGAAAGAAATAAAAGCGGAGCAGGAATGGCTTTATGTGGCACAGACGATTAGAGCTATTCTGATGAAGATTATCTGGGATGACCGAAACAATCTGTTTTTCCGAGCCAGAGGACAGTCAGACCTGAAGTTCAAGAATTTGGTGACTCAGCAAATCAGAATTCATGTGCAGAGTGACTGTGTAAGACACAAGGTTCCAAGCTCAGTTAAGGCAAGGAAGTGGTTTTTGAACACATGGGGGAGAGACTCCAGACTGGTTAAGTTAGACTCTGTAGGTAACCTGCAGTTCTGTCAATGGTTGTTGTCCCCAGCGGGGCACGGGGAGCGTTTTAGCTCCCCGCCATAGAGTCTACTTTAACGGATCTGATGGTTGGTGGGAAGTAGTTCAATGAATAGAAGCTTGGATGCACCCTTTTTTTTTTTGGGACAAAAGCTCCAATCTATTCGTGGGGAGCAGCACGTGCTGGGAACCGGGCCCAGCGTCCCATATAGAGTTACACAAGTCATTTGAGATACCAGGGCCATTACCCGGCTTCGGCTGAGAATCAATCTGAGAACTATTGAAGAGACTCAAGAGAATTAAAGGAGAGGTTGAAAAACTATGAATGACTATTGACCTCTTTTCGAATGCTTAGAACCCCTAGACTCCCAAACAAAACTCTCTAAAACTGTCCGACACTGCCTTATTCCCTGTCGAGCTTGGATGCACCCTTTTTTTTTCCATTTGGGGAATTTTCTTTAGGTCGAAGGGACACTGGACCCGGTTTCCAGGAGCCAAATCTGGGTGATGGCCCCAGTTGCTTTCGGGAATATTGTGGGGTTTCCCGGCCCCGGTTCCTTTGATTTTTGAGCAATATAAGTGATATGAATGGTTCTCCAAAAACAAAAAAAAACAAAAAAGAAAGGGCCTCTCGCTCCACCACTCACCACGACGCCGGTTTGGTGAGTGGCCTCACCGATCCACCATTCGCCACGGTCCCAATGTCAGAAGAACGTTTTACTCTGGTAAGTGGGACGTGGTGAGTACTCACCACAACGTTCCTTTTCCCGGCCTGCAACGGCGGGTTGCGAAGAAGGAACCTCTTGGTCTCTACCAAAAATGGTCAGTAACTCACTGCCAGGGCCGTGTCAGACGAGTAATCTCTGACCTTATTACTTCACCCTTGCTCTCTGGCCATGCCTTGCTGCGCTCACCCGCGTGGTGAGTGGTGGAGTGAGGGCGACCTTCGACTCACAAAAGTCCCATGGTGAGAACTCACCACCACGGGAAATCGAGTTTGGAGAGTGGTGGAGCGAGGGCCCGAAAGCACTGGATTAAGCGCCCGAGTCTGGATGGGTTTCAAGCAGAAATGCAGAAACAGAAATCAATCGCTATTTTCTTCACCTATCCACAAACATATGCAGATTCAGGCATTAAACGCAATCTTCTTTGCTAGTGAGACCTCGCCCCTGGCTGTACGAGGGTTAGCTGAGGCTGGCAAGGGTCGTTTCCTGGAAAGGGAAGAGCAGCAGAGGGGTGCCTTAATCTTTTTACCCAACAAACAAATGGCCATTTTGTCCCTGGCACAAGGTATCATCCAAAGATTATGGATGTCTGCACATCAACATACATGCGCACCAGTGCAGAGTGGTCAGTGCCATCCTCTCCAGGGTGGAGATAGTCAGTATAAACAAACAATATGACAAAAACGAGAAGGGATGATGGCACTACAGCCTTTCCAGGGTGGAGATAGCCTGTTTGGAGAGCGAAAACCAAAAGGGATGGTAGCACTACAGCCTTCCTCGTTATGCACTTGCCTACCAAATACTGCCGCCAAGCTGCTTGTCTTTCCCGGGGGGGATGGGGGAGGAAGAGTAGAGAGCTCTTTGCAGGTGGAGTGAAGCACTGATGACAGCAAGGAGTGGCCTTTCACTGCCTTTGCACACACACACAGCTCCAAGTGGGCTCAACCACTCCCCCCTTTTCTCTCTTTCCCCCCCTACCTCCCCTCTTACCCCTTGCCTTGGCCTTTCACTGCCTTTGCTCAGACAGCCTGAACACATCTGCACTGGGCTGTGCCAAGCTCTGATACCCTCCACAGAAATAGGAAACAGTCCGCTCTGCTTGGCACAGCCCAGTCCAGATGTGTTCAGGCTGTCTGAGCAGGCAGTGAAAGGCCAAGGCAAGGGGGAAGAGGGGAGGAGGTAGGGGGAAAAAGAGAGAGAAGGGGGGACAGAAAGAGAGTGGTTGAGCCCACTTGGAGCTGTGTGTGTGTTTGTAGGCTTGGAGGAAAAGGGGGAGGGGGGGAGGGGGGGAACAGAGAGAGGGTGGCAGAGACAATTGGAATCAGCAGGAGAGAGAGAGAGAGAGAGAGAGAGAGAGAGAGAGAGAGAGAGAGAGAGAGAGAGAGAGAGAGAGAGAGTTTATGAGCATACCGTGGAAGGTGCAAAAAGGAAAAGGGTGGTCCAATTTTCTGCACGAAGCCCTCCTGACCGGAGAACCGGGAGCTTGACTTGGTCGTTTGCACCCCAATGAACTGCCAGCTCACGTTGCTGGAAGTTTTGCGCAAAGCCCTCCTGACCAGCTCACGTTTTTGCCCTCACGAACTTAAGAGGGTGAACCGCGCCCTGACAAGCACTTCCATACCAGAACCAAGATTCGTTGGACATCAATCAATCACTTGCTGGAAGTTATGCCCCACTCGCATTGCCATTATGATCCAGAGGAATAGTCTACCTTGAACAAGAGCCATCAAGTCAGACCTGTGAGTTCCCACCACTACTATGAATCCATCATCAACATCATCAACATCATCATCATCAACCACATGACATGTTTTCATGGTCATGATGATGTTGTGCCCCACTCGCGTTGCTCAAAAACCAGATTCTCTCCAATGACCTTGGCTCACAGTGGCCGCAGTGATGATACCAACTTGAGAAGGAAGAAAAGGCCCATCAGGAACCTGTTCTGGGTCCTGAGGCAGGCTCTTGTCCCATGTAGACATGCCTGGCCCACTACCACGTACAGCCATGTCATCTGTTCATGGCAAGAGTGGGCTCAAAGACCAGATTCTCTTCAATGACCTTGGCAGGGATTCCGGCTACGATGCAGTGGGGGGGCACATTCTTGAGGACCACCGACCCTGATGCAACCATCGATCCCTCGCCAACAACAATATTGCCAATAACCAGCGCAGCCACACCGAGGAACACTCCATCACGAACCTTGGGGTGACGGTCGCCTGCTTGCTTGCCTGTGCCTCCCAAGGTGACATATTGAAGCACCGATACCCGATCCCCTACTACAGCGGTCTCGCCAATCACAACTCCCATGCTGTTGGGAATGAGGATGCCTCGGCCGATCTTTGCGGCAGGATGTATGTCAATTCCAAAGAGTTCTGAGATGCGGCATTGCAGCGCAAGCGCCAGCACCTTCCTGCCCCTCTCCCAGAGTGTGTGGGCAATTCTGAAACCCTGCAATGCCTGGTAACCCTTGAGGTAAAGTAACGCATAGTGATAAGATACACAGGCAGGATCCCGATCCTTGACGGCTTGGACGTCCGCACGGATAGCTTGTCGCACATAGTTATCACTTGACAGCACGTCTTCGAACACTTGCTGAAGCTCCGTCGGCAACAGTGTTGCGCTCCCAAGGCAATTGGCCAAAACCATGCCTAGGGACTTCTCAAACTGTGAGTGACCTAGAATGCTGGCATACAAGTAGCTGCTAAGGAGAGGCTCCTTCCTGGCCTCCAAATGTGCTTCTGCGCGGACGACTGCCCACACTGGGTCATCATGGATTAGTTCCGGGAGAGCCGTTGCTCCATCTGATGGTAGGTGTGCTGCCGATTTCGCAGGTACAACGAGTCCCTCATGATGGTCATGGTTATCAATGCCATTCACAGCTTCCACAGCCGCCTTCACTGCTGCTGCTTCATTCTCTGCCTTCACAATGCCATGCTGCTCCAACTGCTTATCCCCCCCTCCTGGGAGTCTGCTTTCCTCCGACCTCATCAACCCCTTTTCGTTTGTCAAGTGGCCATCGTTGGGGATGCTATCCCCCCCTCTCCTTCCTGTCAACTCCTCCCTGCCCCCTTCAAGTCTCTCGTCCCCCCCTTTCATTTGCTCTAGCTTGCCATCTTCACCACCCTGGACGACCCCTTCCTCAACAATCCTGACCTCAGTCCTCTCCTCTCCCTTCTCCCCATCGTCGCAGGGTAGAAGAAAATCACCTTGGTTGCTTTGCAGGTAAGACGGAGAACCCTCAGGCTGGCTCCACCGGTGATCTACCTGTGTTACATGTCCATCTAGCACAACTCCAATTCGCTGTGCACTTCTTGAAGCAGTGGTTTTGCATGTGCTATGGCCGTTACCTGCATCTCCTCCCACCTTCATGCCATTTCCAACATTGTCAACGGGGGGCGGCACAACCCATCTCCCCCCCTCTCCCTTTTTCCGTGGTTCGCACCCTTCGACCGATGCCTTCTCTGAATGACTTCCTTCTCCCAGCCCAATGGGTGTGAAAGAATCCCGATGTGGACCCCCATGCGGTGTCTGTCGTGAACCAGAGCTGCCATCTCCTCCTCCTCTTCCTTGTCCTGCTCCTTTTTCATCGCCTTGAGCAACCTCCTCCTGCTTGCAGGTGCCCCGAACTTTATTTGCCTTACCACCATCCAATGGCCCGTTATGGACGTTAGAAGGGTCAGATGAGGAAGAAAAGAACCGCAAGGGTGGACGCCGCAAAGTGAGGGGCCAACAACCCGAGGATGAAGCCATCACCACTGCATTTGCAGCACCAGGGAAACACTGCACCAATAATAATGAGCAGAGCCCTGTGTGGAACAGGAGAGGAAGCTGAAAGCCATTGTTCGAAAGATGGGAAGCCAAGAAACAATTTTTCCCATGCTAGGCCCATAAGTGGTCTATGACATGGGTACAATCACATGGCCCCTAAGCTGTGCCACATCACTACTCCAAGAGTCAAAGAAACACTTTGTTTGCCTCTTACGTCTGATTTTGTGCCATCCTTAACACTTCCCTCACCTACAGCTCGTCTATCCAATACGGCCTTTCCTGAGTAGCAGACACTGGACATTACCATTGGTGTCCACGGAGACGGGGATACGGAGAGGGGGGATGACAGGCTCTGGCTACTGGAACTGCTTCCACTGCAGTGTTCGAGATTGATACATAGCCGCAATCAATCGACGTGGCGATCCGTCGACTGCATGTCCACTCTAAGGAACACAACAGTGCCTCTGCAAAACGAACGGTTGCCCAACTCTTGAGCCGGGAATGCAGCAATGCCTGTCTTTCCCGTGCAAGGATCGGTCTGGTACTCCTCCCCAGTCTCCTGCAAGGACGAAGACCACAAGCCTTTGTCAGATACACGATTATGCTCCTTGTCCAGGGCTGTTGCACGAGACCGACCGACCGACTTCAAAGACTTGCTCGGTGAGGGGCATGATTTTACCATCAGCAAGCACAATGTCATGGCCCATCAGACAAATGCTAAAATAATGATGGTTGTTTTCAGAAGACTCAGCTTTCTATAATGTAATGACCCGCCAAAAACACAGACTGAGAACACTGCTGATTTATGGGATTTGTCACTGGAATGAATGCCTTGCTGTGATTCCCGCATTCTGCTGTGGTTCCAAGTCTGTGTGTGTGTGTGCCTGCTGGTTTGCATGCCTGTCTGAGTGCTTGCCGGTTGTGTGTGTGTGCGTGCCTGCTGGTTTGCATGCCTTTCTGAGTGCTTGCCGGTGGGGTATGTGTGTGTTGACCCGCAAGGGTACTTGTTGGTTGCAAGGCCCCATCGGGCCGGTACTTACCTGTGGCCGTGACTGTGAGGGTTGCAGGGGGGTAAACACGCTGGTAGCGGGGGGTAGGCCCACGGCACTTAGAGCAGCTGGGGAAAAACACTCAAGTAGCAGGTAGGCCGAGCAGAAGAAGACAAAAAGTTGGCATTTTTAGAGGCCCAGTAGCGGTAGGTTAGAGGTAGGTCGGTACCAGTCCAAGTAGCCCGGGTCTAGGGCCTGTGCGGACAATAACAGAGCCTGCAATGATGTTTCCCTTCGAAAGGGAGGAGGTACCGGTTGCTGGGAGGCCACTCGGCCTAGGAAGTCACCGCCCAGGAGGCCGGTAGGCCGCTATATCTTCAGGAAGAGCGAAGAGCTCTTCCTCATTTGTGGTGTGCAAGGATTGGCGTCATGCTGCTGGAGCGCTAGTGCTGGTTTGCTACAGCGCTGGGCGGAGGTGAAGGTAGCTGGGAGCTCAGCCTGGCTATGGCGAGCAACCCAGCCTGAGGAGGAGGAAGAAGGGGGTAGGGTAGGAGAGTGGCAGGGCACTTACCTGGCTATGGTGGACACCGTCTTCATCACCTTGTTGGGCGCTGCATCTGGAAGGCCCCAGTTGGGGTAGTGATGCACCAGGGCAGCTCGAGGCAGAGTCAGGCATAGCGGACCAAGTCAAGCAGCGGCATAGCTGCTTTGGGTTGTCTTCTGGACATCAGGGCAGCACCATAGCTGCCACCCAGTAGTCCGCCATGGCCTATGCATGAGAGAGGAGGTTGAAGGAGGGAAGCCATAGCCATGGTGGACTTGTTGTTGTTGTTGTTGTTGTGAGTTGAGTCAGCAGTAAGAGGGAACTTCGGATATTGATTCTGGTACATCCATTCATTGTTATTATTATTGTTGAGAGAAGAATAAGATTGGCGGATTGAAGGAGGAGGAGGAAGGTGGAGAGAGAAGGGGGAAATTGTCATTGGTCTTGCTGGTGTACTTCTTCTTCTTCTTCTTCTTCTTCTTCTTCTTCTTCTTCTTCTTCTTCTTCTTCTTCTTCTTCTTCTCTCCTCCGGTCTTTATCTCTTCGCAAGTGCTTTCATTTCTTTCGCAATTGGGTGGCATTGTCTTTCATTGTGAATTTGCACTTGGGAAGTGACCAGGATCGTAACAATAACAGGGATCGCTAGATGTGTTCGTGATGTACGAATCCTTTCGCATGCGCTCTCGGTGTGGTAGATGACAGGCCGTGTTGTGGTTGAGGATATCAACAGGGCATTGGAATTGCACTTCAGAGCCAAACATAGCTACAGAAGTTTTGTACAAGATTTTTTTTTTTAATTGCCACATAGGGAAAGCAGTTCCCAGAGCATGAATTTCACGGATACGCACCACGTGGCAATGAGTCGGCCAAAAACTTAACCTACTATCTAGGGAGATATCCCGGGCGGCCGGGTCCCGACGTCACGCCCGGTTTGGCGACCGGGTGACCGGCTGGGCATGACCCCCGGGCATGGGCTGGGCAGCCTCAGCGCAAAAAAGAAAAAGAAAAAAAACTCCAAAGAAATCTCAGAAAAAATATGTTGTGTAGAATTGCAATACAAACAACTTTTGGCTGAGGGTCAAATCAGAATTCCTCACGGAGCTGAAGATTAAAAAACAAAACCAAATCACACTAAGGCACCCCCCTTTAAACCCCTTTAACCCCTTTAAAATTCATTTATACTCCCCTTCCCCCCCCCTTGACAGCCAACTCTCAAAAATAGAAAAGAGTCCCGGATTTGGACTCCTCTCGGAGAGCGTGGAAAAACTCCACCGCCATTTTTTTAATGATTTTAACTTTTTATTTTTTTCCCCATGCCCGGGTATCCCGGGCGTCAACCCCGGGTGACCAGCCGGTCATGAAAATCTTCCTAGCCTACTACGGTGCGCAGAATTCCCCAAATGGGTTAGAGAGCCAAGGACAGCAACCTGGATCAGTAGAACCGTGCAAGTACACGAAGGCAGGATAACGAGGTGGCTAGAGGGCGTAAGAGGTGAAGGTATCATAGGCAGCAATTGGGTCTACCGTGCTCCTATTTAACTGAAGACAGGTGAGATGAACCCGCAGACAGTAGTTCGGTTGGTTACCTACCGCGTCCCTAGTTACCACGCCCCTGCTTTCAAGGTTTTCCCAGCAAAGTAGGTATGTGGCAACGTAGGCAAGGTAATTCAGCTTTCACTAATCCTCACCTCGAGCACATCAGAATAGGCCACTTTGCATCAATAACTAGAATCTATTCACAGGCCTCGGCGCCTGAATGTATCTTTGACCGATCTCCGGAAGAATCCTCTCAATTCAATGAAGTAGGGTCAGTTTGATGTCGTTAAATGTGGGAGCAGTTGGGCTTAATTAATTAAGGACAGACCTACTGATCTCACCATCGGCAGTCAGGGTGACTTCATTAGTGGAATTACTATTTACCACGGTTAGTCTCAGGGGCCGAGATAGACATGTGGGAAGTTCAAAGCCCCTGAGTAAAGCCATAAGTCGATCTGCCCCTCAGGATTTAAGTATCACGGAGTGAAACCAATGGTTTTACACTTTCCTCATTTATCAACTCAGGAATCAAGGCAAGACGAGTAGAGCACCAAGCACAATGGCTACCAACGGGAACCCAGCCTCAGAGCTGCACCCAAATCCCCTCACATTGGAGGAAAATCGCTCTAGTGTCCGTGGCTTTGTTACTCGGTGGTACAACGAAGGTGTCTGGCCGGGTGATATTCATCTGGGGGAAGTAGTGGAGGACGAAGAGGGCAAGTCGTTCGTAGTACATGAGCTGGTAAATGAAGTGAAGGAGCAGTTTTTGAAAGAACGGACAGTTGTAGTCATCTTTCGGGGGGAAGCTCGAAATTTGGCATGTTCTGTCAAGGAGGATCTAATCCATGCCTTCGAAGATGGATGGACAACCAGACGGTTGTTCCACCCTGAAACTCGGCGAGGTCAGGTAAAATTCGAGGGGCTGAATGCCGCCTCCTACATGGCCAACGCGAGGGAGATCGCAGAATGGATGTTGCAGCAAGGGGACATGAAGATCAATCTACAGCTCAAAGATTACTTGGTTCTGTTTAAACCACGGCTGTCCAAGCAGGAGACGCAGGACATTCAAATACAGGAGGCTGCCATCTCATTCGAATACAGGAGGCTGAGTCCAAGTTCTGGATCATGGCCTTACGAGTTCCATTGGAGGCCTACTACTATCTGAGAAGTTCAGTCAAGGGCATGTTCGGCGAGGTCCTTGCAATGCATAATCCGGGGTATGATAGGGACAGACCGAAGCTTATGAATGTAAAATTTGAGATACCCCTGGAGTCATGCTCTCGCATTGATGATGACCTGGTGATTCAGTCCCCGAAGGCGGAGCGCTGTGCAAGGAAAATGAACAGAAGCGAGATGACAATATTCAGATTGCCCGATCACATTGAAAGCCAGATTGTATCACAGTGTTCAGAAAGTAGCATTGCACCAATATGACACCAATGGAAAATAGTAGCACTGAAAGCCAATGTCAATGGGAGCTTGCTCTCGCCACCACCAACATATGTATCCAGTCCCTATCTCCCTACTTGGCGCTCGGCACCCAGCCTACCCCCTACACAGCTACTACTAGCCTACTAATTGACAATGCAACTGTTGACGTCAGCAGCCCCCGAAGTACTTGAAGATGTCGCTCATGCAAAACCATCGCCAATACCAGGTATGTGCCCTCACATCATCATCATCATCATCCTTCTCTCTCTCTTCTGACTCTCTCCCACGTCTTCCCTTGTTGAACACCCGAAGACCACCCCTGCGCCTCACTGTACATCCAAGCCCGCCAGCTATGGAGGCTGGGCTATGGCGCTGCCCTCAGCAGCACCCTGCTCCCTGCACGACTGCACGTGCTAGCACCTCGCCTCTCAGCGCGAGCAGCAGCCCACGAGCTTCAGCTCCAGCAGCGCTGCCGCCAGCATGCGAGTGCTCGAATGCCTGGCCAGGCAGCGAGCTCTTTCCTATATGGAAAGAGCCTGCCTCATTCGGCAGCATGGCTGGACTGGCCTGGGCCCAGAAGGTTCCGGTAGGCCCCAGGATGCTGCGCCTCTGGTGCAGCTACTGGGCCTCATTCGGTTGGGCCTCCCAACTGTCTGTGTATGAGGCTGTGAATCTCGCTCAAGGCCTGTGCTTTCCGGAAAGGCCTAGAAGGCCTGGGAATTTCCACGCTGCTCGGCCTGTGTTTTCCTTCAACCAACTGGCACAACGAAACTGCCTGGACCCCAAATACAAAATTGACAGCTAAGGGCCTCTCGTAATTTGTTTGGCCCGCCTTCACTTAGGGCGGGCACATTTGCTGCAGGGACCCCTTAGGCCTGCCGAAGACCCAGATCCTCGCAGCTGGACTGTGGAAATAGTTTCCCCTACACCGACAGGTGCCGCCGGTGGAAGAAGTACTATCACACAGAGGAGAATTGCTCCTGCCGACAGAGATAGGAGGGTCGGAGACCCAATGGCGAAAGACAGGGAGGGGACAGGGTCAGATATCGAGAATTCCTGCTAAACCGGGAGTGTGCGCCAAGGTCGGCAAGCGAGGATGTGGAAGTTAGAGGCAAAGATGCTCAAGCCCAGAGACAACCGTCACCAGCGGCCCAAAGACAAGTTCCAACTCGCTCCCACCAACAAGACAATCTGTCGCAGCAGAGTCAGGGAATTGCTGCACCAATCATCCACCATCATGGCCCAAGCATACCTCTTTCAGCCGTCTTCATGCACGATCCACTACAAGTAATGCAAGGGGGGACCCAGCAGTACCATCAAGATGTGGAGCAAATGACTCTCGCCGCCAGGGTGCATCACAGCACAGCTCCCTCCAAGGTTGGGGTGGGGAGGAAGCTGGGGGTGGGGAGAATGGAAGGGGATCTGGCCTATCCCTTATGCTGCCATGGCAACCCCAAGACGTTTGGCCAGGGGTGATCGGTAACCTCCCTCACAAAGAGGCCTGGTTGGATAGGAGTGCCCTTGGCCATCCATCTCGCCCAATGGGGCAGGAACAGGGAGCCCATCATGAGCTCCCAGATGGAGTCTTCTACCTCTCCCACCAAGGTCCTATCCACTACACAGGATTGGACCCCGGCCATGGGTTAGAGGGCCACCCCCAACCCAGGTACCCCTCATCATCATACGATTGGAGGTATTTAGCTCCCAAGCGGTAGACAGAAGACAGAAACAGAACGATCTCCCCAGATGGGACACAGGCAACCCCCCCATCCGAAGGAGGCAGAGCAGCAGCAGTTCAAGATAGGATTCACGGAAGGATGACACCTGGAGGCACACAGGGGAAGAACCACAGACCTGGTGACAGGAACAGCCACAGCTGACCTCCATAGTAAGGGAGGAAGAAGAATTTGCGGGAAGAGAAGTAGTTGGAGAAGGTGGGGAAGAAGGCATTACCAGACCAGGAACCTCCAGACTGCAGGAGGAGCTCTCGAAAACCACAGCCACGTCACATTCGAGGGTGTGATGGGGCAGTGCTTGTGAGGACGAAGGTGGTAGAAACTCCCACAATTCAGAGTCAACGTCATTGGAGAGCTCGGCAGGTTCAGGCCGCAAGCAAGCAATGGGCTGCAAAAAAGCAGTGAACAAGGATCAAAGAGCAGATGCAGTTGACAGAAACCAGATGGAGACTGTGCAGAGAGGTTGGTCCCCCTACTGTGCACACATACTGACAGGGGTGTTTTCTTACTTACAATGACAGATGGCGACGGCCAACCGCTGCTCCCTCCGCTGATGTGGACTGCTCGCCTACACCTTCGAAGATACTGGAAGTAACCAGGAGACTCTACGGGGAGCACATGCCGATAAGACTGATTCCACACTCCACGATGGCCAACATCACCTGCGAGACAGTAGAGGGATACAAGAAGTTTTACTTCCCCCTGATGGATGCGAGGATACCACCGGAGACATTCGGATTGCTGTCACAGGCCAGCATCCGTTGGTCTCACATGAATACGGTCAGGGAAAGACATATGCAGGAATTGGAGAACATCAAGATAATGTCGGGCGTCTCTGCACTGTTTCTGATCAATGTAAATGAAAAATTGTTGGGGGAAGAGGATTTTCATTCCGCCTTTCTGGTTGCTAGACTTACCAAAGACTGGAGATCCGCCTCACACACCAGCTCATCCAGAGGCAGCACACACCTGCAACGTTCCGAAAGCTCCACAGGCGGTGCAAGGCAGTCAAGGTCAAGTCCCCCATCATCATCCCGCATCCAAGCAACGGCGGATTTCAAATATCCTAATGGGCAGGATTAAGTCGTTACTTGGAACTTTCGGGGTCTTGGGGATGCAGGCGGCAGAGCCAAAAGAAGACGTTTGAAGTCTTGGGTGCATGAATGGATGGCAAACTGCATAATGCTGAAGGAAACCAAGCTCAATGAAGCAAAGATCGGAGAGATCGCACAATAGTGGTAGGGCCCACAGGTGTGGGCCCCAGCTCAAGGGTCCAGAGAGCGGAGTATGCATCCTACGACATTGGGACCTCCAGGCTATTGCGATTGAGTCAGAAGTGGATATGTGGGGAAGTGGGCTTGGATGAAGGTGCTGGTGGCAAATGAGGAGTGGGTGTTCATGTCCATCTATGCACCGACGAAAGTGGGGGAAAGATCGAGATTCTTGGCTAGACTGATGCTGCACATCCTGAAGGCAGAAAGGTTGGTCTTGGGTGGAGACTGAAACTTATCTCTAGACGAAGCTCTGGAACTTATCTCTAGACGAAGCTCTGCGACCTGGCTCCACACACGCGGACAGAAGTGATGTCCAAGCCCTGCTGGAACTGTGTATGGAGGATCTGTTCCCTGCCTTAAACCTGGAGGACCCTGGTTATACATGGTTTTCCCACCTGTACAGGGCTCGACGGGTGGTAACGCGGAGGCGCCTGGACTTATTTTTAATCGGGGAGCAGTTTCAAAACTAGGTCACTGCAGTCCGACAAGTGTGCAGTCTGTTGTCGGACCACAAGCTTGTGATCTCAAATATCCGACTGAACCTCAACATTACTAGAGGTTGAGGCTTCTTCCGCCTTAATGACCGGGTGTTGGAGGAGCCAGGGGTGATGGACTGGGTTACAAGACACACGGCAAGCTGGGAGAATGCAAGACAACACTGTCTCCACCACAGAGTGGATGGACGGAGGTATTGCAATTCCCTCGAGAATTTTGGATGTTATATCAAGAATTTTGGCGAGGGAAAGGAACAAAAGGGAGGGAGACTGCAAACGCAGAATGGAGGAAGCGGAAGAGCGCATCGAAGGGCACCCTATCTCAGCGATGGTGTGGGCTGTGGAGAGAGAATACGCATGAATGAGTGGGACAACATGCAGGAGGAGAAGCAAAAAAGGTGGAGTGACATATTGAAGGTTAAGGGAATCGAGACAAGTGAGAAGCTATCCAAGGAAACCTTTCAAAGATTGCGGCCGAGGTGTGCCCAACAGCAAATGGTAGAACTAAGGCACCCATTCAATGCTGCCACTCCCCTCGTGAATTCCGCCACATGCATGCTCCAATACGGTAGACTGTACTATGAGGATATCCTCACGACAAGAAGGCCACATGAGGATGTGAACACGGACCTCTCCAGAGTCTCGGACCTGTGGGAAGACACCACAGTAAAACTGTAGACCACCGCAAGACTGGACCTAGACCGGGCTCTCTCACTGGAGGAAATACCACAAACTATCAAGTCCATGTCGAAAGGAAAGTGTCCCGGGGTGGACAGTCTCACGGTAGAGTTCTACACTGCAAACTGGGCGGCCTTCGGATCCTGTCTAGTGGACCTCTACAACGGGGTTCTGATGGGGGCCAGATTAAGAAGGGGAATCACTCATGGGGTGATGGTGGTTCTCTTCAAAAAGGATGACAAGGTAGACGTCCGTAATTGGCATCCGATCTCCCTCCTCAACATGTCTTACAAAATACTTGCAAAGACACTGGCACACAGACTATCGAAGCATCTGCCAAATCTGGTGGAGGGACATCAGGGAGCCTTTGTTCAAGGTAGATCGATATTCAACAATATAGTGACGACTATCGAGACCTTGGAGGTGATGGAAGGGGATGATCTAGACATGGTCGTCCTACTTCTAAATTTAGAAAAGGCTTATGATAAGGTGGGATGGACGTTCCTCCTCACCACGCTAAGGAGGATGGGGTTTGGAGACGGGTTTTGTGTATGGTTAACAACCATGTATACCTTCTCCTGGCCGGCGGTCATGGTTAATGGACACCTGTCGGATTCTTTCCCACTCACGAGGTCGCTGCACCAAGGCTTCCCACTCACTCCCCTCATCTTCATACTGTAGCTAGAAGTTCTGCTGAATAGGATCCGCAAACACCCAAATATAATAGGCCTGTAGCTGCACACTCGGGAGACATGCAAAGTGAAGGCACTGGCAGACGACCTCTTCACAATTTCGGAGACTCCACCTCCTCGTTGTCCGCTCTCAAGACTGTGACGTGCGAGTACTCGGCTCTGTCCGAGGCAACAGTCAACTGGAACAAGTCAATTTATTTGCTTCCAGCACAATTCTCCTTGGAGGTTGAATGGGGAATGTGGAGGGTGGAGAGTGGGGACAAATTTAAAGATTTTTAGGCGTGCTGATCAGTCTCCAGATATAAGCATCATCTCAAGGCCTTTTTCTTCAACAGTGGATCGCAGCCAGACTTAGATTGTGGGGTAACACATGGCACCTATCCCTGTTGGGAAGAGCACTGGTTTCTAACGCGTTCCTGTTTTCGATCCTATGGTCTGTATCAACAGTAAGTGATCTGGCAGCGGGTGTGATCAAGGCGGTCAAGAGATTATTGGCATGTTTCCTATGGAAACCTCACTCTCAGGTCACCGAGGGATTCATGTCCCAGGTAGAAATGGACACACTCACATTCCCTCGGCCCGAAGGGGAACTTGGCCTACTAGACCAAGCTCGCAGAAATCAGGCCTAGTTGAGGAACTGGGTAGCCAAAATAGCCGCTTTGAAAACACGGGAGCACTGGGTAGTTGTGGCCGAATGCATCCTAATGAGTGAATGGAGTCTAAGTAGGCCTCGAGATGCCTGGGCCTGCTTCTTCATACCTTCCTTCCGTAAGAAGAGACTCAAATCCAAATTTTGGGAACCAATTCGTCGTGCGTGGAACCCCATCTCTCCAGATGTGCAGACCCCTCCCTCCACCAAGGAAGAAGTGCTGAATCAGCTGCTATTCGAGAGCCCAGCAGTAGTGGACCAAGCAAGGCTAGTCTTCCTAGCGGATGGTTCCACGGGAACCTTTGGACAGGCATGGATCCGGAGGGGGATTGTGCAAGTCTCAAACCTGTGGTCGCCTGTTCTGGGAGGTTGGAAACCATTAGCCAAAGTAAAAGCCTCGCTCAGAGGTTTGCAGAGAGTGGAAGAGCACTGGAGGCATGATCAGTGCCATCCCGCAAGATTGGCTGGCCATTCTGGGCCTAGAAGGGCTGGACCCAGCAGGAACCTGGTATGTTTGGAACGAGGAGGGGGATGAGAGAGAACTGCAGAAGTTGCTGGAAATCTTGCCCAACGGTTTCAGGCGGATTGAAAGGTGGACGTGTGAAGACCCATTGAATGTCCTGTCACTAGTAGAATAGGACACAGTGTTGGTCTGGGACAACCCTGCACAAGCCCGAGTCTTGATAGCGAGGAGCAGAAGACCTGCAGTGTGCGTTCACACTTGGGTGGGCCGACTCCCACTCAACCAATTATGTATTTACCCAGCTGCCTGGAGTTGGACACACTGAGCCTTCAGAACTACTCGATCGCCGCAGGCTACAGGCAGTACACCCACAACCCGGAAACTTCGGCTCAAGTGGCAATTCCCCGTTGGCAGGCCATTTGGAATGAGGACCTATCGAATGCAGTGCCGGAATTTGAGAGATTATGGAAAACTCTGTCGTCCCTCCTGAACGGAAAGCATGTCAGCTTGCTGTGGATGCTGTCACTAATGGTATCCCCCTCTGCTTTTTGGTTAACAGGCAGAGCCATGGAGGTGAATTTGGCATGTACAAGGCGCAGATGGCTGTTTGAGTCCACCAAACACATGTGGTGTGATTGCCCCCCGCTTCTAAACGAATCTGGAACTGGTGGGCCCACCACTGGAGGGACTTTGGAGGCCAGGGACTAGAGTGGAATGAAAAGTGGGTGTTGCTAGGTTTCCTCCCGTTGGATGTTGAAGGGTGTCGCGGGTGGGGCTACATAGCACATGTGGTGAGAGGCCTGATCTGCGAGACAATTTGGGCAGACAGAGACAGGTCGAGGTTTCAGAAACGACCGTTCTCAGATTTGGAAACAAAGCACCACACCAAGCAAGGTCTGAAGCATACTCTCTTGGCAGACTGGAGACGCACGGCTAAATCCGGCAAGGGCAGCCGCCGCCAGCTTCGTTGGTTCCTCACACTGGGCAAAAAATCACCAGTTGGCGGTTGTGCATTCAAGAAAGGGACTGGTGCTATCAAATGGGTGCTTGAGTTGCCCCCACTGAAAGACAGAGGCGAAGGGGTTATCAGAGTAAGTAGTTCCAGTAGGGTAGGATAGACTATTCTCAGAACCAGGGCACTCGGTTCAGGTACGGGCCACTGTAGGCAGACAAGGGAGGAGGGTCGTAGAGTGTCACGATCTACGGACGTCATCCAATCGGTCGCTCAGGCTGGTGCCAGGCCCTACTAGGACTGTGCAAGTAGTATAGGATAGGTAGCTAGAGAACGGGCAGATGCTTCTTCAACTAAGATAGAGCAGAAAGAGGAATTAGTAAGCTGAGCCGGTTATAACAAGGCTGCGATAAGTGAGATACAAAGTTGTCAGATTACAGGTTCCTGGATGAGTGTTGATACTGATTGGGTTCAACCTATTGGCTGTAAGCAAAACCAGCTAATGCTGCCGGGATAACTCCAGGTAGAATTGTGGGGTCCCTGGCCTCAAGTGGTTTTCTTGTAGTGGAATGAATGGATGGTTTGTTGAAAAAAAAAAGAAAAAAAAAAAGAAAAAAAAAGAGGAGGAAATGCACAATTTCCTCTTTTCCCCGATAAAGAATGATTGTCATTCTGAAAGCTGCGTCCCGCAGCCCCTTACAGACAAAGAAAAGTGTACCAGCAAAGGGTGGCTGGGGGGTCATCACCAGGCCGAAGTCTGACTTTGTCTGTTGTCACCAACGCAGGGGGGCACAATCCCATCAAAATATACTTGTCATACTACAAGTTGTCACAGGGACGCTGGACCCGATTTCTGGCTCGTGCAGCTCCCCACGAATATAGATTGGAGCCATCTAATGGCGACCTCCAACAGTGGGGGTGCTCTTATCACCCTCTTGGCAGTTGGCTGGCAATGGATTTTTTTTTTCTTTCTTCCAAATTAAAAAAAGGGCACATTGCCCACAGGTTGGCAAACCAGTTGGCTCCTTGGCACAGGGAGCCAGCCTTTTTTTTTTTTTTTCCCCTAACATCCGCATGCGGTGTTGTCAGCGGTGATAAGTGCAGCCCCTCATAGCACCCGCTTACCCGGTTTCGGCTAAGAAGCCAGCCTTCCTCTCCCAATCTAGAAAACTCAGTTGCAGTTGTCTTATCCAACAAAGCAACTACGGTTGCATAGCAAAGGGGGTAGACCTGTTGTTGTTTTCTGTTTTCTACTGTGTGTGGTTGAGTGGGAAGTGCCCACACACTCATCCACTCACAAGAATACACTTCTTCAACACCATGGCACCCGCCTTCCCTCAAACATAACCCTCATCATGACTGTACTGGACCAGAAAAGTAGCTTGTATACTTTCATGATTGAGGCGAGTTGCACTCAGGGGAAGAGAGCAGCCAGTTGACCCGAAAGGAAAAAACTTCACTAATCTCTCCACGAGGTGCATCTTGAGGTCCTCTAACACCCTAGTTGAGGCACCATTTCTCTGTTTTTTCAGGTTCTTGAATGTGTAGAGTCTAATCTGTGTTCTGATTCATTAACACATAATCAATAAAAAGGTAGCGGCGAGGAGGAAGTGGATGTTTCGAGCGCCATAGGGACTACCAAGATCAGTTTGCTTCAGTGTAAGGGCCAGAGGCGAGTTTCACGACCCCCTCAAAACCCTCTCCCCCAAAGACATAAGTCGCCCAACCTCAGATGCTGGGGAGGAAAGGGTTCGGGTTATGAATTGGTGAAGGAAGATCTTCCACGTAAAGAAGGTCGTTGTCGCCTGTTGGGGTGATCGGAGCCTGACTTAGCTTCAGGCGAACTGGTGTTTTAAGCCACCAGTACATTTCCCAGCCATTTTCTTAAACATGCGGCTAGCATGCTGCCTCAACTTTCGAGGGTCGGCTGCCGGAGCAAAATGGCTTGCAGCACCAGCCAAAAGAAGGCCCTAGCCAGTTCGTTTTTTTTGGCGCACAGCGCGTTTCCAGCCCCAGAGAAAGTGCCTCGGAAGTACATGTGGTTTAAGGGTTAATTTTGAGGTAAACAGCCACCTGAGCGGCACAATAAGAGGGAAGCTGCAAGAACAAGTAGAAGGGGTACCCCAAAGAAAGCCAGAGTCACACTTGAGAAAGAGATATAATGGATCTATTATGCTCCATGTTGCTAACTACAAAGGTAAAACTGTTTCACCGGCGGATTGGCTCATCTCAAGTGTGCTTCATTGTCTACAATAGAGGTAAAATTGCTTTGATTTCGGATCTACTCATCTGAGTGGAACAGGGGTTGTTGTTGTGAAAATCTAAAACACACACACAGAGGAGTAGTTGCCAGATGTTAAACCACCAGTACTTCCAAGCCACTTTTTTTTCCTGGGTCTCGAAACGCCCTGCGCGCTAAAAAAAAATGTACCGACACAGGTCTCCTTTTGGCTGGCACTGCCGGCCATTTTCCTCCGGTAGGACGACCCCCGAAACTTGTGACCACATGCATGCCGCGTCGCAGAAAAATGGCTGGGAACCATACTGGTAGTTTAACCAGGGGATGCAGGCATAGAGGGATGGATGGATGGATGGATGGATGGATGGATGGGGGGTGATTGGGTCTCCCCTCACCCACAGTTTGATTGATTCAGGGGAACATTCAGACTGAAAAAGCCTGATATATTACTTCCTGAATCTTGGATATACTTTATGTTTTCATTCTATTTTTGCCTTTTTTTTCCATTAATTCGGACCATCTCTCGATTTATGAGTCATCCTTGTGCAGGGGCCCTGCTAATCTCCTTTCTCTGTATCGTTCCAATTTTAACAGATGTCCCGAAGGACTTTTTGCTTTTCACCAATTTTGGGAGAATCAAGGCCCAAGGGTTAATTCTGAGGCAGGATGACGGTATCAGAGTGGCTACCATGTGTTAACGGGGATTCGGGTGAGGGGGGATGGACCTGGTGGAGCTTAAATTGGGTCTCTGACCGTCTCTCCTAACACAGTTTGATTGATTTTCGGGAACCTCAATAGTGAAATAGACTGATATTACTTCCTGAAATTTTTAATATAATACATTTTCTACTTATATTTTTGGGGGGAGAATTAAGGCCAGACGACCTTTTCACGGGAGGTTGGACCCTCTTTGGTGCATGGATGATTTTTAAAAAACAAAGGGTTGCAGGGTGTCAGGGATAGGGCACAAGGAGGAGGGCTGGAAGGAGGCTTCACACGTCGGGTTGAGCATACCTGCCAGCGCAGCGGACCCACGCACACACACAGAGATCACTCAAGGCAGGTCACACAACCTCGACCACATACACCCAGGAGTGTCACCCTGCACCGGAGCTACCAGGATGTTGCGCCAAGGTGCACCCCCCTCAAACTCAGTGTCCTGCATCTCTGAGGCACCCTGTCGGAAGGCCAAGTGGCACCACTGTCATGGGTGTTGTGGGGATGAGAGTCACTCCTACTAGGACGGGGGTGAACCCTTCGCTCCTCCCGTACTCATCCTCACTGAGCCCGCCCCTCCCGGGGCCATCTCCCCCCATGGCCTCCAGCAACCCCACGGGGAGGAGCGCACAACCCAGGAAGTCGATGATTGGGGGCCAACACTTGATAGGTGATCCCTGGTACTTCCAATTACCCCTTTATACATCTGTACCCCTGGGCATGCACACTCAGTGTGCGAATGGCTTGTGTGTTGGTCAACACCCCCCGGTGCCATATGCACGAGGCTGCGGAGTTTTGAACCCGCAACCTCAGACCACAATGTTATTACTACGATACAGCTGAAACACCAGTACCATCACATTACAAGTGGTTTTTGTTGCTCAACTCATGAAGCGTTGTCTTTTAGCAGTCGTGTGAAGTTTGATGCAGGTTGTGGCAAGCAGCAGTTGCAGGGGTGCAATATAAGGATGTGAATATACCTTGTCATTGCATTCCTACCCTCCCGGGGATGCGAATACACCTTGTCAGCTTATTATTTAACTCACCTTGGGTCTTCATCCACTACAGGGTGGAGTGATCATAATAGATCTTGAAGTGTCTCCCAAGTAAGAAATGCTTCCATTGTTTGAGGGCACGGACGAGAGCATACAGTTCTTTCTCATAAGTAGATGTCTGAATTCTTTGCACCTTTATCTTCTTACTCATGAATTCCACAGGTTTCAGTCAGGTCCCATCATCTTGCTGCAGTATTGTACCAACACCATACTAACTTGCATTTATGGTCAACACAAATGGCAAGGTAGGGTCAGGTAGTTTCAACACAGATGCCTGGGTAAGTGCTTTCTTCAATCTGGAGAAAGCTAACTGAAAAGTGGCGGTCCACCTGAAGGGAACATCCTTAGCTAACAGGTTTGTTAGGGGTGTAGCAACAAAGGAAAAGTTTCCGATAAACATCTTGTAGAGGCTAACGCCATGAAAGATCTAATGCCCCTCACAGTCTGTGGTTATGGTCATTCCCTGACAGCCGCCACTTTAAAGGCTTCAAGGGGTAGACCATCTGCATAGATCATATTACCTAAGTACAATACAGAGGAAACACCAAATGATGATTTCTCTTTGTTCAGTTTGTACGTATGTTCCCTTAGGACCTGCAGAACCTTCCTGAGGTGGTCTGCATGCTCTTTGACATCTTTGCTTTATACCAGAATGTCATCCAACTACACCAGAGCAAAGCGGTTAAGGAAAGGTCTGAAAATGAGATTAATCTCCGTCTGGAATATTCCTAGTGCATTGCACAGACTAAAAGGCATGATCAGAAACTCATAGGTGTCATACCGGGTTTTAAAGGTTCTCTTGTAAGCATACTCTTCAACCATTCCGATCTTATGATAACCAAATTTCAGATCAATTTTGTTGAAGACTTTGTAGCCTTGCACCATGTCCAGCAAGCCATCAATCCTAGGCAAGGGCTTAAAGCTCTTCCTAGTGATCTTGYTCAGGCCCCTATAGTCAATGTACATCATGAGTTCACCATCTCCCTTTGGAACAAAGAGAACTGATGCCCCATACTCAGATGAGTTAGGCTTGATCCATCCCTTCTCTGTCAAGGACTCCAATTGTTTCCTCAACTCATCCAGTTCAGCAGGTGACATTCTATAGACTCTTCCCTTGGGAGGGGTAGAGTCAGGCAAAATCTGAATATGGTGCTTGGTCTGCATATGGACCAGTCCAGTAGGCTTCTGAGCCAAATCAGAAAACTCATCAACCATTTCTTGAATGGAAATATCAATTTGAGAAGGGGAGGAATCTGAATCTGTTTGAGTGACATAAACCACAAACAGATTCTCATAGTCAATTTCCTTAGACAAGTTGTAAAACTCCCTGACTTTCAGGCAGTAACAGCTTGTCTTAGGATGATGGTCAACAACTAAGACACCTTGTCTTAGCTCACTCTGGGAATTCTTCAATTGAATACTGAGCAGAGCCCAGTCAATTGAAGGGTTAGCAACCCTTAGCCACTTCAGGCTCAAGACCAGATCAAAGGGAAAATGGGGAAAACATAGAAATTCAGGGAATGTATGATTTCCCCTTTGTCATCAAAGGTGACTGACACTCCTTTGATGACTTGCTTGACTGAGACGGATTGGGAATTCCCTATCTGTATCTCCAAAGGATGCTCAAGGTCAATAACCTTGAGACCCAAATGGAGTATTTGAACTCCATTCTGAGAAATGAAGTTCTTTGTGGCCCCACAGTCAAGCAAGGTTTTGATCATGGTTATGTTAATTTGAGGTTTGAGCATGGTCAATTTTGATCTCTCCTTCTTCTCCTCCTTCAACTGAAGATGAAGGGAACAAAGTTGATCAAGCTCCTCCTCAGAAGGGCTCATCCAGATAGGGTTCAATATAAGAGTATATTGAGTCCCTCGCAGCCTCAGAAGAATCAGGCTCAACAGTTGATCCATCTCCTGAAGGAGATGGATCCAGTTCAGCAGGGCTGGTTGCAGCTTGTGCTGGCCTGCTCAGTTTTTTGAGTGGCTGCAGTTGTCGTGATTCAGCCTAGGGGAACCCCGAAGGAGGTTGTAAGAGAATCAAGCGTCTAGGGTTTAGGGTTTAAGGTTCAGGCCCTTTAAGGTCTAGGGTTTAGGGTTTAAGGTTCAGGCCCTTTAAGGTCTAGGGTTTAGGGTTTAAGGTTTAGGGTTTTACTAGAGTCATGGATGGGCTCAATTAGAACAACAGATCATCCATATTTAAATGAGAACCAATCATTGGTCTTCTTTGACAAAAACTACACATGGAAAGCTTCTGAAGACTTGCCCACATGTCCTCCAGCCACACTCCGAAACATGCAAAAAAAAAAAAAAAAAAGCACCCCTGCAATGGACTGGATGATGTTGGAGATGTGGTTAGTTATACCTGTGTCCTCCTTATGGCCTCTAACGGTGAGTAGGTAATCCACAACCCTTCCCCCTTTTTGTTCATCTTTGGCATATATGAACACGCAACATCTCGTTTGCCAAAGGTCGAGAAACCTGTTGCCAGACACAAAATAGTGACCCCAATAATAATAATAATAACAATAATGCTGATAATAGCACTAATCATAAAATAGTAATAACAAATGTCCCCTTTCCCCCAGCCTCCCTCACCAACCCCTCCCCCCGCCCCCCCTCCCCCAAAACCACC